CAAGTACAGAATGTTTTGTGTGCGTGAGAGGAGAAGCACTCGCCCTGCTTGTGCTCATAAGCTCCATTCAGACTCTACACACAGGCTAGAAGAACAGGGTCTTCCATTAATTATCGCTAACATGACTCTTGACAGTTTGTAATATGTTAACCATCATCTCTGTGCACTTGTAATTGTAAAATTTGCTTTCAAGCAGGCAGTTTTTGTGACTACGTTGCTAAAGACAAGCAAACATACCTCAGTCTCAGCTCTTGCCTTGGTGGCGGCAATTGGGTAACTAGGTGTACCATTTTCTTGCCCCTCATGTATTAACCAACACTAACACATGGGAGGACAGTGCCACCTGTTGGTTTGATCTGTCACCAACAAATAAACCAAAGCAACTAAAAAGTTTACACAGATACTTTACTTAAAAAAAACAACAACTAATAAATGTATCTGCCTTAAACAGTGGTCCTTTTTTGAGTTGAGGCTCTTCATCCATTCAAACAATCCCAAAGCTGCACAAACAGGGCTGTAAACATGTGTGTGTTATCTCAAAAACCCCATTAAAACAACAGGTAAAGTTCTCCTGTGGTTTTGAGTTATTCTTCATTGTGTCACAACATTAATTCAGTCTTCCCAAGTTTGCCCAAAATTTATTTACATTTATAAAAAAGAGCAAAAAACATTAACCTGATATTTCACGACAGTTTTCACACAGATATTTAGACTTGTGAAAATATCTAACTTTGGTCCCAAAAAGGATTTTCATAAACAAATCACAAAATTAAAAAACAATCTGCAACTAAACTTAACCACACACAGCGTCACGCAACACAGACTTAAAGCTTCTGTAAAACTGAAACAGACAAAAATAACCTCAAAGAGTCTCTGACAAGGATTTCCACCACGAAACACAAACCAGCGCTTCATGGGACTTCACAGTTCATCGTGTTTGTAAGTGAACTCTCTAGAGGATATAAAACCGTCCTTGTTCTCATCCTCTTTGGCAAAGATATCCTCCGCCATGTTCTCGTGTAGAGTGTCGTTGGGAGGGTAGCCGTGACGCTCAAACTCCTTCCTTAGATACTCTTTCACCTGGCAGACATGAAAAGAACAGGATGACTGGGACTTAAGTACAAACATAATAAAATGAATTAGAAATCACACTTTTTCCTCTTTGTACAGAAAGTAAAGTCTAGAGTGACATGGGATATGTAACCGATCCATGTAACTTCATATGTGTTTTCAATGGTTATCTTCACCTCATGCTTGGAGAGCTTCCAGTCATCGTTGAGGTCCATTTCCTGAAAGGACTCATGTGACCTAGGTCCATTTCTGATCTGTAGCACCTCGATGATAAAGGTAAGCGTGCTTTCAGGTGGAATCTTACCTGAATACAGAGAACAGGAGGGTAATGGGCAGAGATGTCAGTTCAAACTGAAATTGAATATTGCCAAAACTTCCAGTAAGCATCCAGGAAGTTTTCTTCCGTTGAAGAACACAGATGGTAAAAAGGAATAAAAAGCAAATCTATTGCTGTGAATCTGTTGGCATTAGAAAGGTTAGTTAGAAACAGAAGAGACAGATGTTATGGGTTAGAGTGGTTTGTGCTTACCGGACAAAAAAAGCACAGTATTGTTCACATGCTCCACGTAGAGAATAAGTGGACTAATGTCACTGAATGAAACCTTCATTCAGAGACATTGAATGAATTCATTCCTAGAAAGCAATTAAAAAGAACAAGAAAGACAAGTATAATAAGATGCGTGCATAATAATGTCACACTGTGAGAATTGGAGACACCAAGAAGACCGTGTCATAAAACATGCAGTGAAACTTCTTAGATATGGATGAAGCTTCTGTACCTTTTCCTTCCTTCCCATAGGCCAGTTCTGGAGGTATGACCAGTTTTCTCTTCTCTCCTGAGCACATGTTTTGCAGGCCTTTATCCCAGCCTTTGATTGCTTCTCTGATGCCCAGAGTGAACCAGATTGGCTGCTTGTCACCGCTGACTCGACTGGTCAACAAACACAGGTGTCGAAAGAGTGAAAAGTTGAGATGTAGAGAAGGTCTGAGGTGTCATCAAAGGTCAAGGAAATTATGATGCTTTTCTCAGAGTTATAATGATTCCTGCTGATATGAATTCTCCAATCAGACAGTTTTTCTACTGCAGGCTCTATGTGATTTCAAAGACTGTGGACCTAGCCAACCCCACTGAGAGAACATTAACAAATCGACAAGCTCCATCTCAGAAGATATCAAGTGAACACTATCTTTCCAGCTGGAACTGTATGCTGCTTTAAGAACAATAAACCTTGATCACCAGTGACCCGAAAGAACTGCTTGTTAAAAAAAAAAAAGACGCCTTCATGTCTGGAGAAAAGGAACTGAGGAGAGTGCAGCATGAAGGGCATTCTGCAGCCTCCTCCTTCAGTAAACACCCTCATCACCTTCAATGAGTTCTCCACTTATTCTTCATTAAAACCACATCCACCCCACATCTGAGGAACCACCCCTGCTTGTTTGTCTTCTGGCCTGGTTAGAAGACAGCTGGAGAAACTACACACTACAGCAAGGACGCAGACCCTGATGGCATCAGTGCGAGGTTCTGAAGACCTGTGTTAGCCTTGTGTCTGTGTTCCTGAGTCACTTTTACCACCTGAGTCTAAAGCAAGAGAAAATAGCTGTATTATTGCATCATAAAAAAATATCTGTCTGGCAGAGAGTCATCTGGCAGTCGATGTTATTATTTATGGGATAAATAAAGTATTTTTCATTAATTCAAGAAGAGGGATATTATTTTTCCACCCACCCAGTGTCAAAACCTTACATTTGTGAGGTCCAGCCAATCTGAAGACTAAAGCTGCTTGTTGTCAGCATTGGATGCACGAGAGGTAGGGCTGTGCGATATGACCAAAATCTCATATCCCGATATAAGAGTTCTATCGTCCCGATAACGATATAAATCACAAAAATGTAACAATTTCTGTAAATTCTGTGAATCTCGGGCAGCTCGTCTTGCGTTTCCAGCTGCGCGTCCTTTACCCGGAGTCAAGTGTTTTAACCGATGCATGAAACTATACATTTTTAGACATAAGTTGTAAAGGCCGCCGTTTTCTTTGTGAGTATTTATTTGAGTCTAAGGTTTATTTTTTAGCACCTGGCGGCTCCTTTTTAATTCTCATCCGTTAATAATCTGCTCTTTCACGTTATTCAGTTTATTTTGAAAAGTCTCAACAGGATCTTAAGCTTTATTGTGAAAGGTTTATGTGGAACATAAACAAGCGGACACGCGATGGTTTTACCGTCGTTGTTGCTAACCACAACGCATAAAAACAGGCACTTGTCCGTCTGTAGTGTGGTTATATAAAATATAAGAGAAAGAGAGAACTTGAAGAAATTAATATAGCCACTACAGTGATCATCAAAACAATGAAAAAATATTGCCGTAAACAGTTTATTTTGCGACACCACGAAACAAACGATAGCGTAAAATGAAACATACTTTTTTATATCGTCATCCGATATATATTGTTATATATTTCTCTAGTAAATGAAAAACATCTGTTGCCACGACTCTTTGGGCATTAATTGTAAGAAAGAAATGTGTACAATTATAAAAAATGTTCTGCTAGCTCATTGCCCAGACAGTCCTGTAATTATAAAACAGAAGAATTTGTTAGTTCACAGAAAATCTACTTTACAATAATATTATTAATTTACATTATTATTATTTAATTTTATTTTTAAACTGTTAATTTGGTGTAATACAACTGTCCATGGGGGAGGTCTTTACTCTAAAACTTAAAATACAGTTAAAAGTCCAAAATTGATCCTAATCACATTTTCCAAAGCTCGTACTGGAGTCTTGGCTGGGCCCATTTTTGGCCATGGACCTAATGTTTGACACTCTTGCACTAAAGCAGGGACGTCAAACTCATTTTACATCGTGGGCCACATACAGGCCACTTCACTGGTCCAGCCCACCAGTGAAACTCCCCTTTCTGTCTGTGTAAAGAAGTTAAACTACACATTGAATCGTTCACATGTCTTAGTATAAGGAAAAGAAGCAATTTTTAATAGTATGACTCAGTTTTTCTACATGATAAGGAAATTCTGCTGTAGTTCATGGAAGAAATCAGTCAGCATGACTCTTTGGCCATGAAATTACAGAAAAAGTTCTGGTTGCTAGTAGCTTACCATGTAATTTTAAAAAAAAAAGTTTTTGCTCATTTTAGTGAAAAGACTGAAAATTTTCTGTCATATAATTTGACTATCTATTACTTAATAACTTTGGTGTGGTATGAATGGCCCTGGGGGAAGTCTTTGGCAGTAGTTAAAAGTTTTACAGCTATGTGTTCAGTGGACCAGATTGGAGTCTTTGCCCGGCCTATTTTGGCCCACGGGCCTCATGTTTGACATAACATTTAACTTTGTATCCCTTGCAGATAAATGCTAACATCGACATTCGAGAGTTTTAAATCTATAAAAGCTGTTTATGAAACCAGGGTGACGTCACTGCATCTCTCCTTCAGCCAGCTCCTTCATTGCTTCCTTGACAGAGTTGCATCATCATATTTGAGCGTTATAAGCCTCGCGTTAGCCATGAAACAAACCTGGAGAAAAACATGGTGCCATTCTCAAAGTATCCGTCATGATGCACCAGCAGAATGTCTCCATACTTGGACTTTCGGTGACAGAGGAAAGGTCTGTGCAGAACTTCTATCGTCACTTCAGCTTCGGGCAGCTTCCCCCCGCTGCTGACGGACACCAGCATGAAGGAGCAGAGCCAGCTCAGCACAACCAGCAGCATGCTGACACAGTCAGCTTTCAGAAGAAACAGCCTGTTGAACAAAGAGCTAAAAAGTTTCTAACAGACTTGCTGCGGCATGAAAACGTGCAGCTGTTCCTCTACGTGGCAGAGACAAGTCGCTGCAGGAAGTTTTCCTCTGATTGGCTGATCGTTTTTCGGCAGCCCCACCCACAGACAATCCCCCTCACAACTTTCCTTTGGCAACATCTGAATGAATCTTTATTAGTGTACAGTGCTTCATGAAACGTACAGTCATGCAGGCAGATTATCAGCTAATTACAGTTTAATGAATGATTTGATGTATCCCCCACATGCTGCTGCAATAATCAAATATGATCCTTTTTTGGATGACATTCATTTTTTCCCATCTCTTCCATCTGAGTTATTTGGACATTCATTTCTAAAAGGCCTCACTTTGGCTTGGATATTTACAGCATTGGTTAAAGCGGTCTGTCGTGCACTAAAAAAAACACATTTACATGCAATATGACAGCATTGCACTTCATCAATATACTGCATTTTTTTGTAATATATTGCACAGGAATAAACACACTTACACACCCCTGATTTGTATACTACAGTACATATATCTCTATATCTTTTTCATATTAAAAAGTGCTTTATAACACAGATTATTTCTGCATTAACAGTCAGCAAGTCATACACAACTATTTCGTATGATACAAACATGAAATCATTAAAATGTTTCCCAACAGTTCTAGTGTCCGTAACAGTGCTGCAGCCGATGAAGTGACACTAGCAAAGAGCTGTTTTCTGAGGTCAATTAGAGATTACACCTCCCGTGACCTTTCGTGGCTCAGAACAGGCACAAGAGCTTCCCTTAACTACTCTTTCTCAGTCTGTCGTTTATTTATTAATTAATTAATTTTTTTTTTTTTAAAGTGGTGAGACTTCAGTTGAAATCTGAAGTACAATCCCTTTGATCACAATGATCATCAAGAGGATTTGCAAAGATCCACTGAGGCTGTTTTCAAACCTCTGAATTCAGGTGAAGTACTTGCAGCCAGTAGAATCAATGAGGCATGAGTCGGTGCATTTGAGATGCCCAAAGGACCTGCAGGAGACACAAAAACTGGTTTGTAATACGTGCAATTGATGCGCTGCATTGTCTTACAGTTATCGTGAGTGGACTATTTTTGGAAGATAAGCATACTGACTTATTTCTCAAAGCAGACCCACCATTAGATGAGCTCTTATATTCATACAGTAACACTTACTATACTTACAAAAACTCTCTCTCTGTATTTGTTTGTATCTTTGTCTGCAAACTCCTCCTATACCAACAGAGGCTTGTTTTACAAAGCAGGATTTTGGCTTATCCTTAACTTCAGGGTTAACCCTGTGTTTTGCTTAGGTGGTTCAAAATTAATCTTTTGGCTTTTGTCCTTTTTAAAGCAGCGCTGCATTTAGTGAATCCACATCAGACAATCTGGGTATGTTGAACTTTCTTCGCTGTAGACGACCCAGGAGCTGAGCAACTGAACTTGTCACACATGTGTATTTTAGGCCGCTGAAGGTTCTTAACTATATAAGAAATTATGATGCCATCATAGTCCATAAAAAGGAGTTAAAAACATGTTAAAAAACAAAAAATCTGCATGTGAGCATCTTTATGGCTCACTAATAACATTTTATGTTTTATATTTTTTAAAGTCAGGACTCACAGAAATCCTGGCCTAAATAAAGTACGGCACTGAAAACCCCAAACTGTGCTTTTGCTATGATATAGAAATGAGATATACTGTGTTACGTCATGGGTTTGAGCATATACCAGCTGTGTACAACTTGGACAGTCTATTGCAGGGCTAACAGAGAGAGGCAGGCAACTGTTCACAATCACATTCACACCCAGGGCCAATTTAGAATTGCCAGTTAACCTAATCCGTGCATGTCTCTGGACTGTGGGACGACCCAGAGTAGCTGCAGAGAACATGCAAACTCCATGTAGAAAGGCCCGGCCAGCGGACTGTTTCAAACTGTGCTGCTCACAAAACATGTTTAAATTTCACTACGTCACCCTAACACTGATTACTACACTGCAAGAAGACAAAAGATGATGCAGTAACTAGCTCACTAGTTGCTAACACAGTACAAAATCTGAGATTGAAAACTGAAATCAACGTGAATGTGTGCCAAAAACGTCAGTTTCTCAAATGGCCATGTGAAAATGGCTCCAAATAGTCCGTCCTCACAGAGTCCCATATTAGAAATGCAGTTTTTGACACTTTAATGGATTCATCTTGAGTTATCTGGTCTCTGGAGCAAGTCTAAATGAATGGACTCTACATTTGTGTTCTGAGAGCTGTCTGTGAACATACCCAGGGAGATAAGACTTGCAGGTCTGGTAACCAAAGTCTTTTCCATCGCACTCCTCTATTCCTTCGTGCCTGTAGCCATCTCCACAGTAGGCCCACTTACAGTCTGTCACAAGGGAAAGGAGGTGAGAGACAGCAGGAGGCAGAGGAGGGTAGGGAGAGAGAAGACATTACTAATTTCTTTGGCACTGCAGTCTGCTTCAGTGATGCCAATACAGCATTTTCTTGCTAATTTAATTGAACAGAAGCAGAGAGTAGGGAGAGGATGGCAGCAGAAAAAAGAGGGGGGTTGAGATTAATGAAAGATCAAGGAAAGGTCTCACAGTGCTTACTAGCTTTCATCCTATGCCATGTGGGATCAGACTCTGTGGTGTACTGGAGTTATGCTCTGCAGGGTACCTCATCAGCAGCAAAACCAATCTACTTTACAGTTGGAGACTCTTTTTTTTTTTAAATTTAGACAAATGAAAAGCAGTTTCAGCTAAATTCACATAAGCTGGATATTTGTAAGAGATAAAGAAACATAAGCAAAATGGGACATCTTGCATTATATGAGATTTCAACCTCTACAGGCTATTTCTGCAGGTGTGCAAGTTAACAAAGCAAACACGGAACTCACTGAGGCAAGAATCTGTGACAATCTGGTTTCCATCATCACACTCCTCTCCGTGCTGGGCTTGCACCTTTCCATCTCCACACACGCCAACTCTGTCTGGGACTTTCTCAGTAGACTGGTATGGCTGGAAGGGCTAGAAAAATTGAAAGAACAAGCTCCAACTTCCTCTGAGTCTAGTGGTTTGCATGTAAGATATCAAAGCATTGAGGCTAAAGTTGCAGTTTATTTTCTGGAAAGCTTTTGTGTACCATCTACAAAAAACCCCCACTTTCTTCTAGCGCTTTCAGCCTCATACCGTTGCCTTCATCAGTACATATAGTCATACAGTTGACTTGCTGCTGCTCAGTGCTGCAAATGCTTTGAAATTACCTGTATGGGCTTCCATCCATCTTTGTCTTTAAAATAAAGCATCCTCTGATCCTTCCTGAATGCTATTGCATTCTCTTGTTGTAGATGGTCCATCTCCTCCTCACTGTTTACCACAAATATCTTGTGGTGAATATGAAACACACACACACACACACACACACACACACACACACACACACACACACACACACACACACACACACACACACACACACACACACACACACACACTGATCAGTGAAAGCATGCCAATTTAAATACTCAATAACAGTATTGTGACAGGATGTGGTTTTACCGCTGTGACTTTATTTCCACTCCGCCGCTGTGTGTAACTTCCAAAAGGAGCATTATTTGGTCCGAGAGCACCTTCACAATTACAGTGACCCGGTGGACCAGGAAGACCCTTATCCCCCTTTTCCCCTACTAGATAGAGACCTATAAGAAACACATAGTTTACAAAAATAAACTTGGATAACACACAAGCAGCCAGTGGGATACTGCTTCTGATTGGGTCATGTCTGTGAGCTACTATACCTGATGCAGGAGGACCAGGTGGCCCAGGGTGGCCAGTAGGACCTGGAGGTCCGGGAGGGCCCATCAATCCAGTGGCCCCAGTCTGGCCCTTCATACCCTGTGCAAATTATAAAATACCAGAAAGTAGATTACAAAGCAAATATGCAAAAAAAAAAAGAAGTGCTAATCAATGGGAACAGCATCAGTGAGTGTGTGTGTGAGGTAAAAGACCCCACTTCACTGGCTATATTTTCCAAAACTGTTTTAAGAACGTTTCTTTTTTTCACCTGTTTGCCTCTCTTCCCCGGACGCCCAGTCGGTCCTCTCTTCCCTGATGTTCCTGGCTCTCCCTTTGGTCCTTTTTCGCCCTTTGAGAGAAGCAAAATTGAGGAATAACTGGATAAAAAGCAAATCTTTCATCTTCTTAAGTCTTTAATTACTCTTACCTTCTGTCCAAGCATCCCAGGCAAACCAATTGAACCCTGTTCAGAGACAGAATGGGAGCTTGTTGTGAGAACACTGACTTTATCATAACATGTATATGAAATACTTAACAGTAATTTATTTGGACTCTGAAACAGCCATACCAAGAAAAAGGTCTGAAATCATTTGAATTTTAAATTTAAAAAAAAGGGAGTGTATCAAACCTTATCGCCTTTTAGGCCTACTGGTCCAGGATCGCCTCGAGCTCCCTTATAAAAAAGAATTGGGGCGAGGGGAGAAAGAGAAAATGTGGATATGACACTTTTTTAGTAAGAGCAGTTAGTTAGAGGATGTGACACAGAACTTGCCTTCTCCCCTTTGTAACCACGTAAACCCTGAAAAGACAGAGTAAGAGACAAGAGTACATCAGAGAGAGAAAGCTTAATAAGAATCAAACAGGTAGTCCTGTAAACATGCCACTAACCTTTATTCCAGGTGGTCCCCTCAGTCCTGGTAATCCCATGAGTCCGGGGTCCCCTTTCTCACCCTGAGAAAAAATACAACTAGATGTATTTCAGGTGTCAGGAGTAAAAAACAAAATGCACCCAAAAATGTGTCTGTGCCTGGAGGAAGAGTCATGACACTTACCTTGGGCCCCTGTGGGCCAGGCCATCCTGGAATTCCTTGTTTGCCTGGCAGGCCTGGAGCTCCAGTACGACCCTACAAAAACATCAATACCAGTAACAGTTTCTCTGCCCGCTTCAGTAAAAGTGATGTGAACACAAAAAGCTGCTCGTCTACTCTAAAACTGCACGAAGAATTTTGCTGCAAACTCATTTAGAGTCCGACCTCCAACTCAGACTCCGCTCTAGAAGCACTGCAAATTACTGGACGGGAATGAAAGCCTAATCAATCTGGGTTCTGGGCAAAAGAGCCAAACATGATAGACAACAGCCGAACATCTCCGTGACACCCGGACAAGCATTGCAGAGCTGCTGCCATGCTAAGCAATGTGCTTTCATTTAACTGCCTTTCATTAAAACCGCAGCCTGTAGAGACTCTACGGACCTGCTGTGTGTGTGTGTGTGTATGTGTGTGGAGTGATTTATCACGAAGAGCAAAGGCACTTAGAGTGATTAAAGTAGAGAAGTAGAGTGCTGGAGAGGCTGGATCAGCAGGACTAGAGTTTGGTACGAGAGCTACTGGAGCAAGGCCAAGGAAAAAGAAATACGGAGAGAGGAAGCCGGAGCAGAGGAGAAAAAAGGAACAGCAAGGTGAGGGGACAACGGGATCAAAGTTTGCTGCAGGACGAGCATCTTCTGGGACTAATGCAGCAGAACCCATTTAGCAGCTGCAGAGGATATTCTGAGCACATCAATAGACAAATCACATCACAGAGCTCCAGGATGCATCCAGGGGGGAGAATAGAGGCAGACAGTGGGGAAAATCCTGATCCCATTACACCAAGGACAAGATGACGAGATGGACCGGAGAGAGTTGAGGAGCACAAGATGTGCAGGAGAGGATGAGCAGCTCACCTTTAACCCTGGACGTCCAATTTCTCCCTGGAGGAGGACAAATGGAGGGGCAGGAGATGGGGTGCTCGTTAGAGCAGAGAAGAGCACAAGGACACACACAAACACAAATGCTTTTACAGAAAACTGCATTAGAGACATAATTCACTCACCCCCACCCCTCAAACAAAACCCTCAAAACACACACACACACACACACCTTCTCTCCCTTTGGTCCTCTTATGCCGGGCAATCCACTATGACCCTGAAAAATGTCACCAGATTTATATAAATCTCACATATCCCATAATGAGCATGGTACATTTGTAGAAAAATCAATACTAAAAAGGTTTGCGCTTGTTTAACAATATGTCCATCTGCTGTCTAAGAATGGTTTTGCTGTCAGGTGGATGCTCTGTGGCTAAATCGGGCTGAATTGCTTTTAGAGAATGATTTTGTGCAGCAGCTTATTTATTTATTTATTTATTTAGAAGTAAAGCCTTACCTCTGGGCCAGTCGGACCTGGAGGTCCCGGAGGTCCAGGCGGACATCCTGGTATCACAGGCTTTGGTTTTATCTGCACCTCCCCTCCGAAAACACTCGGCTCCAACAGGCTGTTGCTGTCCTTCATTCGATCAGTAAACACACAATCAGAGAGAAAGTTCTTTTTAAGTCAGTGGCCTACATCGGGCAGGTAGGGGAGGCTGTATAGAAACAGGTGTGTTTGTGAAGACGTACAGGGCTGACCCTCTTCCAAAGCTGAGGCGGAGGAGGGAAGAGTGGTGGTGGAGGAGGTGACATGAGACAACAGGGGTCAAACCTCATCGGCTCGGCCAGGAACCTGAAGCCTGAGAGGAAAAAAGAGAGCAGTGCGCATCAAATGGAGTGGAACATGCACACACACACACACACACACGCAAAGCTGGACTTACCTGAGCGGGCTGAGAGGATGGCGTCCATATAGGAGTGATGAGATGAGGCCCACGCAGGAGACAGAAGGATGAGAAAGGTAACTGCAATATTCTCCAGGTCCATGCTGCTGGATTACTTTTCCTAAAACGCACACAGGGCAGCCGATTATACACACAGTACACTCTATTTCTGTTCCCTGAGCTTACTGCAGTAGTTGGCACCTGTCACTTTTCCTTATTCCCTCTTGAGGGTGTCACTATTTCATCACTTCAGTCCACTAAAGCCTCTCTCTCTCTCTCCTTATAGCATCATAAACTTGTTGCAGCTCCACACTGCAGCAGATTTAAACACCGCTGTAATTCCAGCCATGCACCACCACTACCACCATCACCTACCCACCCTCTGTGCCAGAATTAGACAGAGGGGAGGCCACTGCTTGTCAACAATAGTAAGATTCATTCACACAAACCATTTTAACACGCTCACACTGCATGCGGTCAATGCAGGTCAATAACAGGAGGGAGAGAGAGAAAGAGGGTGGCTTTGCATAAAGATGCTGATAAAGGCTCACGTGTCACTCCATATCACATCGTCACTGGCGCTCACTTCTTCTTCTCGCAGCCTATTGATTAAACAGTACATGCTGTCGAAACGACACCACAGCCCTAAACCACTAATAAATGTCATCCCGTGGATTTCATTTGCGCGATCTCTTTACCTTCAGCTCGAAATTGCGCCGCACTTGTTGTAGACACGCCGTCCGGCGCTCCTTTCGTCTAAATGAGATGCGCGCTGTGCAGTCCCGAGTACTGTGGCTCCTCTGACATTTGTGTAGCCAATCTGGAGAGCTAATAAATCCGATCCACTTATCGACCCGCTTCTTCACCGCCGGTCAATAACAACACAATTGCAGCTCAGAGGACCGTTTGTTTTTTCTCTTGGCGCTCCTCAGAGCCCATCAGAGAGAGAAGCCACTGAGTGGAGCAGACACGGCGGTGTGCTGTTCAGCTCCCAGCGGGCGTGGATCGCGGGACCATTTACTGTTGTGTCATCTGGATCGGGTTCAGGACAGCTGGCCGCATAACGCAATTTAAGTTTGCGCGTGCCTGCACTGGCCTGGCACGTTCTGCGTCCTCAGTGGTGAGCTCTTTATTGGAGTAATGGCGCCCTCTGCTGGATACCTTTGTCCGTTTAATAAAATAAAACAAAATAAAACAAAATAAAATAAAACAAAATAAAATAAAATAAAATAAAATAAAATAAAATAAAATAAAATAAAATAAAGTTTCACTAACAGCTGATTGATCGAGCCTATTGGTGATAATTGTTTGTAACGTGGATTTTATCTTTATCTTTTTTACCAATTAACACTTTGGTTGTCCGATTAAATTGCACTATTTTGTATATAAAGATGAAAAATAAGACGCAATGCTGCTTCGGATACTGCAGGAAATATGTTATGTGTTAATAAAAACTTTTATTTGGATGTTTTTTTTATTTGGATGCCAGACACGAGTAAGCAACTCGTGTCTGGCTGCATTTCATCCACCCTGCCAGATGTGAAAGCAAGCTCAAAGATTACAAAGGAAAATAGACAGCTAGACAAATAGGGCCTGGTGCAAGACACTTTACCAGACTTGCAATCTGTTAGAGCAGGTGCCTGTCTAGTAAGTGGTGGAGCGGGTGGCCAAGATTTTCCATAATGGATAGCAGATAGTTCAATGATCTCCTCACCACCACATCTTCAAAAGTGTCCAATTTGCAGTCAATCACAGAGCCAGCCTTTGTGATTAGTATATTCAGTCATTTGGTGTCACTAGCTCTGATGCTGCTCCCCCAGTAAGGTACACCGTACTCACCACAACTAACTGATAAAAAATCTCTCATTTTTTGCTGCACCCAGTGAAGTATGTAAACTTCCTTAGGAATAGATCCTGATCATCAATTGCCTGTGGGGGTGGTTGTCTGATCCACATAGTTTGGGAGGAGAAAGGAGAAAAGGGCAAAATCACTGATAGTAATCAGGATGTGCAGTGATAATGAGCAGTGTGTGATGGAGGAGCCAGCAGAGGACTGCTGGAGGATAGACACCTGCTGGACAAACTTAACTCATTTGCTCTCTCCGCTCACTTTTATCCGTCTGTAATCTTAAACCCAGAGGATTCAGGATAGCTGTTGGCTGTTGGTGCAAAGTAATTTGTCCTTCAAAACTATATGCTCTATGAATATATTATTAGTGTCTCAATCTAAAATTTTGTCTGCTAGAATCCTAGTGCTGTGTGGTGAAGCCAAACATATTAAAAACAAAGCAGTGCTTCAAGAAAATAAATGGCAACCTTAAAAAATCACACCAGCTGTGTTTTTATGCAAAAATTTAATATAAGATTAACTAAACACTACAAGGTCAAAGTCAATGGTGTTTGGCAAATGTAAAATAGCATGCTAACTCAGTATAAAGAATGAGGCCTGTTAAAGTAATCTAAGCACTTTACATTGTTCCTTATTCTCTTATCTTTTTAAAAATACAACAGCAATCTATTTGTTGACCATACTATCCATAAAAAACACAGAACAGAAACAAAAACAGAAACGATCGAAGTCTGTAACACCCAGTGGTTTGAAAAGATGATTAAAAACCTCTTACACAAAGCCTGCCCAAATTGATACATCTAAACAGAAAACACTTATGTGTTAACAGAAAACAAAGTTCTAACAATGTTCCACACAAGCATCGATCAGCAGTAGTTTATGCGCCTCATAAGCTTCTTTTAAATAGTCTATAATATCCTTTCTCTCTTTTTTCTTTCTGATGCCACTGAAGATCATCTTGGTGCCTGGAATGTACTTTTTTGGATTTTCTGTGTCTTCATCCCATACAATATCTAAAAAAGAAAACACAATAATTAAATTAATTCTTTGAGATTAAAATTGGTGAATCGGAGAAGAATGCTGGCTACTGTGCTACCTGTTCAGGCCTGCTGCTCTGGCCATCAGGTATGGGAAACATATCCTTTCTTAATATTATAGCAGAAATATACACACTACTGAGCACTCCAAGGGAAAACTCCCATAAATTCCAGTACAGAAGAGTTAAAATGCAGATTACAATTCACATTCAAAGCTCTACTGAAATTTATAAGATTATGAAGGTTTGTTCTGTCAGGATGTTGAATATGAAGACGATGAAGACTGCGGAGGAGATTTGTGGATGTAGTGAGGACATGCAGGGGATGGCATAAAAGAAAAATGATGCTGAGGGATAGAATGAGATGGAGGCAGATGATTCACTGTAGCGACCCCTAAAGGGAGCAGCTGAAGATGAAGAAATAGTTCTTAGAGGATAGATTGATTATGATTGACTTTTTCACAGAAGAAGCTAGCACTGGCTTATTCACTCCGCTTTAATTTTCCACCAATCTGATTTGCATCTTTTCACATAGAAAAGACTCAGACACAAAGCTTCACAAAGCTGAGATGCATGGAGATCAATCAATCTGTCAGTCTAACCAAGGTGAGTTCTGCACAGCAATGGTACCTGTATCAATGTTGGCCTGTGTATAGGAGTAGCCAGGTGCTTGCCCTGTCTGCCTTCCAAACAGTCCCCACAGGTTGGGCCCCACCTTGTGGCTCTCCCCCTTTCCCACTGTGCGGCACTGGGAGCATTTCTGCACAAACACTTTCTTTCCTTTCTTGACATCCCCCATTACCAGTGGCTGGGAGGAGACACAAGCGAAGTGTGCAACCTGGAATGAGTCACACCCAAACTAGTAACATATGAAGCGAGTGGAAATATACTACACAAATATTTACATGTAACAGTAGCCCAGAGTCAAAAAAATCACTCACCAACTTCCAGGCTGTTAATGCACAAGTTATGAAATGTGGAACAAGATGTTCTGGGAACAAAAACATGTAAAAAAACAAAAAAACAAAACAAAAAAAAGAAGTTTAAAAGAAAAAAAAAACTAAAATAGTTATTTAACAGGAAGATTGACTCGCTTTTGCTAAAAAGTCAAAGTGAGAAAAGATTTATGCCATCATTTATCCTCCAAAAAGACACATAAAAAACAAATAAATGAACAGTTAATAAACAAAAGGGAAAACTTGCAGATATTGGACTGTGGCTGAAATACCTCTGGACAGAAGTTCAGTGTTTAGCTTCAGCTTCAGCGTTGCGCCGGATAGTTTGAAGCTCAGAAAGTAAGATCTCAAATTTATAATGGGGGTGGTTGACTATGCAGTGGTTCAGTAGGACATTCATTCAGTACAATGATTGGCCACTAGAGGGAGACCAAACACAACCAAGGTGGTCACATTTTCCCTCAGTCTGGAGTAACAAAATCAGTGTCACCATTTTCAGAATCATTCCAGTGAATCAAGAAAGGTGTGAATGAATTTTTAACCGGTGGATGACATAAAGAGTTTTATCTAACAAAGTGATAGTGCCCGCAGTACAGGATGCACAGTACTAAGGAAACAGTGGGAGTGTGTGAGTTTTCTGTGTGCTTAATGTTTTATGTGTTAACTTCCCTGCTTTACTCTGTAATACTAACAGTAATGCAACTGTCTGCTCGAACTTAAGAAATTACATTAATTGAATAAAGATTTTAAAGAAACACAACTGCCTTGCTTTAATGTGGACTTCCTTCCCTATAAGCCTTCTGTTTTGTAAGATAACTCTTTAAAGTGTTAGATAGACTTACAAAGTATAAATTTTCCTTTTGATAAACACCTCTATGAAATCTATTTTTACAGTGATCCCCACTTGCAGTTTGAAGGTTCATCTGCAGGTTAAAATGCATTTGTCACCATTATGCAACCATAATGGATTTATAAACACAGCTCCTCATTTGCATCTGTTAAAAACCACACTGTCCAGGCCAGCCAACAGATTTTTTTATTTGTTGTGTTATCCAGCTAAGGCTCTAATGCAAAGGGTGTAAAACTGGCTACGGGATAGCCATACTTTCTTTAATGCTATTGCAAGTTATGTATATTTACTTTTTCTCAAAGTATTTTCTATCTCACATCTGCATCTACAACCAGCTTAGAAAGCAGTTAACCCCACACTTACACTGAATCCAGAGGAAAACCCAACAAAGTCCCTGAGAAGGTTTGAATTCTTGCAGTGAGGTGACAGCGCTAACCTCCACATCAACCTAGCCACTGATATACAAAACACTGAATACAAAATGTCAGAAGGTTTTTTTTAAAACTATCTCATGATATTGCACCAATCACCAGTATTCTAACCTCTTTGGCCATTGAAATAGTACATATTACCCTGATATACCCCCACTACTGACAGAGTACGTACATATATAGTTGGTGGTTTCCAGGACACGAGGAATTTATTTACACGCCACTATAGGAAGACAAGGAAGCATATTTTCTTTATTAAATATATATTTACTGGAATTATTATGAAAAAAGTGAATTAATTTTCAAACTAGAGGCTGAGCAGAAAGATCACAGTGGCCACTTTGATTGGGTTTTTGTCTCCCCCTTGTGGTTTATCACTGAACTGCAGGGTCACATGCCGTAAAATTGCTCCTGTATCGGCAGGGTTTCAGTGGATGCCGGGTGCTAACATAGTTAACTGCAAGGTTAAAAAAAAATTCAACAATAAAATGATTTTTCCAAAGAAGTACTGAAAAGCAAAACTGATGAAAAAAAATTTAAACAATGTCTGAGATAATCACAGCATTAGCTGGAGGAATGGACCACCATCACAGGATATTAATGTTTGTGTAAATCAGTTTTATTCCCAATGGCACAGCCCACTGACACTCCTTTGGATCAGGACGGAACAGTTTGTGATTGCAGGGCTGAGGTTTAAACATTGCTCATGACCGTTGCTAGGTCAACTGTGCAAAGTCAAGTCAGATGTAAGAGAAAAATTTCTGTGACTTAGTATGAAATATGAAAATTTGCTTTCCATCACAATATGTGTAACTTTATTTAAAGAGACATACAAGATTTTCCTCAAATGTTTCACTTTAAGCACTTGTTTATACAGTAAAATAAAGAAATGTTGATATTTACATCCTACAGAGCCCTATAGACAAAAATCACTATTTACTCTTTTTTTCTTCCAGCTCTGTTTCTTCATCTGAGGTAGTTGTTGAATCAAAGTTTTCAGCCCTGTAGGAACAAAGCACACTGTTTGCAAATGCACAATGGGACACCCATCCCTTCTCAGGAGTGCACCCGAGGTTGAAGATAGATAAACCATTAAGAACATCATTTACCTACCAGTGCAAGCCAGTGTTTAATAACTGTTCAATGGCAACAGTCCTCAGAAGCTTCCAGTAGGGACTATTCCTCTCAAATCTTTGAGACAGCACTTGGTTCGGTGCTCGTCTGATGCTCGGTCACTCTGCACACACTCGAATTGCCACCCAGGATCTTCCAAACCTCTGGGGCAGGTTGGGAGAGGAGTTTGGTGTCCTTTCATCACTGGGATGACTCTGTCTCCCAAAGCGCAATGGCATGTTGGCATGCTGGTGGAGGGGTTTGACAGTGGGCGGATAGAACCTGACGATGGTCGGGAGGCTGAATTTGCTGGTGGTGGGAGCCACGTGTATATTGAAGCTCTCGAGATCTAAGCTCCTGTGGATTTTATTTTTAGTCTAGAAACAAGAGATCAGATGAAATATAATGCACATAATGCACTGTTTCAGTAGTTTTGCAAGCCAAACAATTGCTGGTTCACTACTGGGTCAAGGGCATTTTTTTCTCACATTCATTAAAATTTTTTTTGTGTTCACAGCAAAAGCAATCATTAGTTGCCACCACAGGTTATGCTCATACCCCATATTTTTCTGCAAAAAAGTGAAACAATGTCTGCAAAAGCTAATTTTGGAGAGCCCAAGATGATCTATTTGAGTTGCCTTTTTTAAAATCTGCTCAGCTATTCATTTAACAATCTTGTACATCAGCTAAAATTACCATATGGTTAAATTTTTAAGCTCAAGAAATTGAAGATTATTTGAGGTTTTCACACTTTAACCAATTTCTGAAATGTTAAATCAGTTCACAAAACATGTTTTACTCATTTACTAACAAGTTATGGGTCTAATTATTTCTTACCTCTTGGTGCGGCTGTTTCCTCACAGAATATGTGCCGTCATTGCTGCTGAGCAAGTTTTTACCGCTGCGGACCAATTTCCCAAAGACGTGTACATCAGACCCTCCAAGACCCCGCAGCATCAGGAGCGCAGACAGTATCATTGTTACCAACATATTAACAACCATATTTCACAACTTCTCTGAGCAGCCTGAGGACATATGGTTACCACAGTGTCTGCAGGTATTAAAGGTCCCTGAAAGCATGCGTCACTGGCGGTGTGTGATGAAGACAGCCAAACACATGCACATACATCTTCAGCCTAATTTAACAGGAGGAAATTCCTGACCCTACTAATTATCCTTCTCTGAAGGATATGTTTGAGGAGGTATGTATGTCCTAATTAGGCTGCTGAATGAACCAGTCAGCGTGTTTTCGGTTTAGTTTGGTTGAAAGCAGGAAGTTGACAGGAAGCAAAAACAGGTGTTCAACAAAGATACCACATATCACATTTTTAGCATCACAATTTGATTTACAGTGAGCCAGAACAAAACATTCATTTTTGTAAGGATTTCTTGTAAGTTTTCTTTACAGTGTAACTAAAATGTTTACATTTACGTGCATGTAAATAACCATGTATGAAACGACGGCCTGAGAAAAATAAGAGCAATTATAATTTTATTCAAGTTATTGAAAATTCAGTTAGTTTGAATTATTATATTAAATTATTCTATATGTTTTTTTTTTTTAAAAAATGTGATATTTATAAGAAACACCTTGGTCTACGCATCTACAAACGCAGTTCTGAAGTAGTTGGGATGCTGTGTAATATGTCCAAAAATAATAAAAAAAATAAAAAAATAAAAAACCAAGCCAAAACAAAACAAAACAAGAAGCAGAAAAAAACATGCAATAACTTGCAAATCTCATGAAGACATATTTTAAAATATATAAAATGTTGAAAGTGAAAAAGTGTACCGTTTTAAGAAAACAATCAAAAAAAAAATTAAATCAATTTGAATTGAATAGCTGCAGCAGTTCTTGAAAGCACTGGGACAGGGCCATATTTCCCACTGTGTAGCATCCCAGTCCATGAACGGGACCTGAGGAGACCAGCTGCTGCTTTTTTTTATTTTTTATTTTTATTTCATAATGCCTCACACGCTTTCAGTTGGTGAAACATCTGGACTCCAATTCAGCACTTGGACTCTTCTCCTATGAAGCCATGCTGTTTTAATAGATGCAGGATGCGGTTCAGCATTGTCTTGCTGAAATATGCAAGGCCTTCTCTGATGGGAACGTATGCTGCTCTAAAAGATGCAGACACCTGCAAGCTGCTAATTCCATAGGTACTAGTGCATCCCTGTAAAATCTGAGATGGAAGCTTTTGAACATTGATAACAAACCTAATGGTTCTTCCTCTCTTTAGTCTGGAGGATGCAGCATCCATATTTTTCCAATAAGAATTTCAAATTTTGATTTGTCTGACTCTAACGCTGTTTTTACACTTTTCCTCAGTCTATTTTAAAACTTTTTTTTTTTTTGCCTGTCCCGTTTGGCTCTTTTGCCATCAGAATTGTTGTCTAAAGGCAAACAAAGATGCCCAACGGATTTACTTTACCAAATTGACCATCC